ATGAGCACCAAGGAGAGGACGCCGAGCAGGAAAAGTCCGAGCATCCACGATGAGCACCGACCACCAAATCGAAAGCAAGGATCCACGATGAGCACCAACCACCCAATCGAAGCACGGATCCCCGATGAGCACCGACCACCAAATCGAAAGCACAGATCCACGATGAGCACCGACCACCAAAGAGAGAGCACAGTGTGAGAGAGAGAGAGAGAGAGAGAGAGAGAGAGAGAGAGAGAGAGAGAGAGAGAGAGAGAGAGAGAGAGAGAGAGAGAGAGAGAGAGGCACCAAGCACCGACCACCGAGCACACGCGCACCGACGCACCCACGCAGAGCACGCACGCGCTCACCGACCACGGAGCACACACACGCGCACGCGTTGATAGGCAGACGAGAGTGACGGGCGATTGGAGAAGTGGCCGTGGCAACAACATTGTCGGCGGGCGATTGGAAGGGAGGGCCGGCAACTAAAAAAGGGGCGCGCGGGCGATTGGAGGGGTGGCCGGCAACACCGAAGCGGGTGGCCGGGGCAACAAAAGCAGACGGGCGGGTGATTCGACGCTTCCGATACCATCCAGCGACCGTGGAGGAGTGAGCGGGGCGGGCCACGATTACGGGCGGACGGGTGGGCGGGCGGACACTTGGAGGGGTGGGCAGCAGACGATTGGAGGGGTGGGCGGCGGACGATTGGAGGGGTGGGCGGGGCTGCAATTCAGCGCCTCCGGTAGCGACCGGCAGAATCTGAAATCTGACTTCGCACGGACCGATTCGCAGGCCGGTAACCACCGGGGACGGCCCAGATCGCAGGCCGATCAGAAAACTTTCTGATCGGCCTGCGATCCACGCCGTCCGCGGTGGTTACCGGCCTGCGATTCGGGCCGTGCGATATGACGTTTAGCAGCTATTATAGTAGGTGTAGATGTAGATGTAGATGTAGATGTGACGAGATCTGTACCTGGTGCATGAAGAGAGGTCGGCTATGGTGTTGCCATCACGTACATTGGTCTTCGAGAGTCGAAGCGAGCCTGTTGCATGAACCAGCTGTAGGTAGGATAGTCGGGCAGAGTAGGTTGGGCACTGGGCGCCAGACAGAGAGGAGCGACTTTGGATACTGTGTTGGTGTGGCCTACGGGCTTGAACATTGGCTAATTACTTCATTGTATTGCTCTATATGGATGGTTTCTCAGTGCATTTTGTACTCTCTCCTTGGATACGACTACCTGGACGTCTGTGTGATTTCACAACATTGGTTTTCTGTATATCATTCACACTCGTATTCCTTCCAAAAATGTCACTTAAAAATAAAATAAAAGAGAAGAGGATATTCTTCGCCGTTCTTTTTTCTTCTTTTTTTTTCTTCT